CAGGCAGATTACCTGAGGTCAGGAGGTCTAGACCAGCCTGGCCAACATAGCAAAACCTTGACTCTACTAAAAATACAAAAATTAGCCAGGTGCGGTGGCTCACACATGTAATCCCAGCTACTCAGAGGCTGAGGCAGAATTGCTTGAACCTGGGAGATGGAGGTTCCAGTGAGCTGAGATCATGCCACTGCACTCCAGCCTGGGCAACAGAGATAGACTCCATCTCAAAAAATAAAACAAAACACTGTGTGCCAGGCACTGTTCCAAGGACTTATTTAGACCGGACGCGGTGGCTCCAGCCTGTAATCCCTGCACTTTGGGAGGCCGGGATGGGCAGATCACCTGATCTGCCCTGAACTGACGTCAGGAGTTCAAGATCGGCCTGACCAACATCATGAAACCCTGTCTCTACTTAAAATACAAAAATTAGCCGGGTGTAGTGGCCCGCACCTGTAATCCCTACTACTCAGGAGGCTGAGGCAGGAGAATCACTTGAACCCGGGAGGCGGAGGCTGCAGTGAGCCGAGATTGTGCCACTGCACTCCAGCCTGGGTGACAGAGCGAGACTCCATCTCAAACAAACAGAGAAAGAAACTCCAAGGGCTTATTTAATTTTCATCACAACTCAATAAAGTATATTACCATTATCCCCATTGTACAAAGTAGAAAAACGAGGCTCAGAGTGGTGAGGCAATTTCCTCAAGGTCACACAGCAGGAAGTGGATGCAGGCGCTGGGCTCGGAGTCTGAGGTCTGAACTATTCTAGCAGTGCACCCAGTCTCAGGAAGCAGTGACCACATCCAGCTGTCTTCCCCACACCTGGGGCACAAATTCCAGAAGCGGCGACAGACACCAGAGCAATCAATAAGTAAATGACACTGTGGATTACAAAGTGTCCACACCAGCTTCCCTCTGGGGACAAGCTGGGCTCTCAGAGGGTGCCCCCTGCTCCCGCCTCTTTCATGGAGAATGTGAGCCACTCCCTCCACTCAGTTAGGTTGGCTCCTTGAACTTTGATCTCTAGCAAACACACTTTCCTCTCCCTTCCTAGTTGCAAAGTATAGGGGAAAACACAGCAAAACACAGGGACTCCAGGGCCTGTGATTTTAAGGAGGCAAACAGGGAAGTCCTCCCAGAGAAGGTGATGTTTGCACAGGGAGTTGAAAGAGGTCAGGGAGTGAGTGTATGATTCTGGGAACAGAGGTGGATCAGACATGGCCCTCTCTGCAGGGAGCTACCAACCTGGGGATGATAGAGTAGGGCAGTGGCGAACATGGGGTCAACAGAGGATCCCAATCCAGTCTGGCGAGGGCTAATGGAAGGAAACCTAGGGACTGCAGAAGCCCCCAGGGATATATCAAGGCAGCCTGAGGGTGTAGGGTCAGGGGCTTCCTGGAGGAGGCGATGCCAGAGAGAATCACTAAATTGGTTTTATTATTTGTTTGTTTGAGATTACAGACACGTGCCACCACGCCTGGCTAATTTTTTTATTTTTAGTAGAGATGGGGTTTCACCATGTTGGCCTGGCTGGTCTCAAACTCCTGACCTCAGCTGATCCACTCGCCTCGGCCTCGCAAAGTGCAGGGATTAGAGGTGTGAGCCATTGCACCTGGCCGAGAATCATTAGATTTTGATATAATCCATGAGTGGGAGTTGGGCAGGACAAAGGATAGAAAGCAGACGTAGGAGGGTGGTGCTGGAAGAAGGCATGGAACGGGCGAGCCGCGGCCTGGCCTGTCAGGACAGGAAGAGTAGGTCGCAGTGGTGGAAGCACAAAGGGTAAGGGAGGGTCCAAGGAGGGAAGTGGACAGCTGAAGCAGACCATGAAGAGGAGGCTGGACCACAAAGCATCCCAAATGCCAGGCAGAGGGGCTGTGACCCTGTCCTGAGGGTGCTGGAGAGCCACAGGCAGGCTGGGAGCAGGGGAGAGCAGGGTCAGCTCTGGGTGCAGAAAGGCCCCTAAGAATGGGTACAGGTGGGCTCTGACGGGGACAGACTGGGAGCGAGGGAGGACGGGGGTGAGGGTCCAGGTGAGACAATGGGACCAAGAGACAATAGGGCAGGAAGGGTGGGGCGGGGGTGGAGAACTGACAGCTTTGGGAGGAGAAGGGAAAGGGGGTGGGACACTGCCCAGGTCTAATCTGGTGCTTAGGAAGCTGGCAGGGTCTGAATCACTCGTTTGTTCTGAAAAGGACATCAACAGACACATCCAGTGAGACAGGATGTAATGCAGGGAGCCCTGGGGCACTGTGGGAGGGGAAGGCAGCACCCTCTGGAAAGGACAGGAGCTGATCCAACACTGCCTTCACGCTTCCCCTCTGTTCTCTCCCTGAGCACACCAGAGACATCCAGGTGCCAGGCTCTGTGCTGAGTGATGCTGGGACCAGAGCTGAGTCAAACGTGGGCCTGCACCATGGGGGAGACAGATCCAAACCCAGACATGCCAGGCAGGGAAGGCCAGGGCTGGGATAGAGGATGCCCAGGGGACTGTAGGAGTTCAAAGATGTGACAGTAATGGACAGTCAGAGCAGGGAGGAAACCAAGTGTTGGGACCCAGGACCTCAAGAGGAATGTGTCTCAAACGGGCTGGAGGCGACATCCCTGTCATGTGCTGTCAGAGGCATCATTAGGACAGGGGGCACTGAGGGAGATGGGAGAGCAGAGTCTAGAGCCAGACTTGCCCAGGGTTTTGATTGTAACTCTGCCACTTACTGGCTGGGAAATCTGACAGGCCTCAGTTTCCTCATCTATCCAATGGAATTAATAGTACAAAGGGTCGGCCGGCACGGTGGCTCACGCCTATAATCCCAGCACTTTGGGAGGCCGAGGCGGGTGGATCACCTGAGGTCTGGAGTTTGAGACCAGCCTGACCAACATGGTGAAACCCCATCTCTACTAAAAATATAAAAAATTAGCCGGGTGTGGTTGTGCATGCCTGTAATCCCAGCTACTTGGGAGGCTGAGGTAGGAGAATCACTTCAACCCGGGAGGCGGAGGTTGCAGTGAGCCGAGATTGCACCATTGCACTCCAGCCTGGACAAAATGAGCAAAACTCCATCTCAAAAAATAAAAATAAATAATAAATAATACAAAGGGTACTGAAAGGACTGAATAGCTTAATCTCTACAAAGGACTTGGAAGGATGCCTGGCATGTAAACACCCACTAAATGCTGGCTGCTATGATCACTGACGCTTTCATGCTCAAGTCTGGCTCCTGTACCCTCTTCCCTAGCCCGCTCCCTAAGCAGGCAGGGGCAGTATCAGTGTCAACTTTGTGACCCTGGTTTCGCCCACCCTGAGGCCTCCAGGGTGCCAGGCCCCATGCTAGGTAATGCTGGGGACACAGAGGTAAGTCCCCAGGCTGATGGGAAGGACAGATGTGGATGGACAGTCACCATCTTCAGTCCAGTTCAGGCCAAGCATTGAGAGAAACGGGCCTGAGAGACCGTGTCTGATTCACCTCTGTCCACACCAGCCTCCCTCTGGGGACAAGCCAGGCGCTCAGAGTGCCCTCCCCCACCTCTTTCATGGAGAATGTGAGCTATCCCCAGCTCAGTCAGGTTGGCTCCTTGAACTTTCACCTCTAGCAAACACACTTCTCTCTCCCTAGCTAGAGCCTCCTGGCTCACCCTGTGGCTATGGAGGGTGGCAAGCAGCTTCTGGGGCCGCACAGGGCCCTGTCTGACTCCCTATAGCACATTTCGGGTAATAGTACAAAGGTAAGCAATGCAGCCCAGTGGGTGAAAGCAGTCAGAGGAACCTGGATAGAACTCTCGGCTCTGCCCTTCTCTAGCTGGGTGACCTCTCTGTGCCTCAGTTTCTCCGTGCGTTAAACAGGGACCATGACTTCTTCCAGTGGGTAAGAAATGGAGAAAGCAACTCACTCTGAACAGTTATCAAGAGAGTGAATCCAGAACGAGGGAAAAGAGAACATGGCCGTGACCCCGGAGGGATCGGATGTTAGAACTTCACTCTTTTGATTTTTGCCGTCAGGTGTGACTTTGACGTATAGGGGTTAGAGCGGCAGAGGTCGGGGGTAACAAGAAGACCCCCACCCAGTGTGCGCTCCTGGCCCCGGAAGCACATGGCTGCGGGACTCAGGGACGTGGGAGAGGGGGGCCCGGTCACCTTCACGGCGTAGTCGATGACCCTCTTGACAGCTACGAGCGCGCGCAGCTCCGCCATCTTCCCGCCGCAGCCACCTACAGGGTCAGCCTGCACCCTCAGTCGCTTCTTCCAGACACCCGACCCCACCCCGCCCCTCTCTGCGCCTGCGCGCAGCACGGTCAGCCAGTCAACCACTGCAGAGCCCGCCTCCCCGACAGAGGACCAATCGAGAGGCCGGAGGGAAGGGAGGTGTGGCAAGCAACGCAAACCAATGGGAAGCGGATCTTGGGGAGCCAGCCGGACCCCGAGAGGGAAGGAAAGGCCTGGCCGAGGGGGCAGGGCAGAGAACTAGGGGAAAGGTCGTGCACTGGAGGGAAGCGCGCCCGGAGTTTATAGATCCTCCTGGTCCTATAAACGCTTCCCAGATCCTCCTAGTCCTATAAACGCTTCCCAGATCCTCCCGGTCCTATAAACGCTTCCCGGTATCCCCGGATCTCCTCTCCCTCTCCAGATCCCCCACTTCTTTCCGGCCTTTCCAAGTCGTGGTACTCGTATTCCCAGGCCTCTGAATCCTCGCGTGTCGGTCTCTCTCCATCCCCGTGTTCCCTGTCCTTTCCATATCCATATCCTCCCCTGTCCATGTCTCTACTTCACCTCCATGTCGTCCCCACAGCCCCTCCACACCCTCTCCAAAAGCCCACGTCCCATCCTGGCCCCGCCCCTCCCACATGTCCCTGTTCCCATCCCAATCCGTGGAGACTTGTGTCTCTATATCTGTGTCTCCCCGTCTCCACGTTCCCTATAGGTTCGTGTCCTTATGTCCTCCCTGAGTCTCTATGCAACCCCGTGCCTGCGTCCCCACGACCCCCAGAAAAGCACGCGGAGCCGCAGCGCTAAAAAAAAGCCGTTCCTTTATTCTGCCCCAGGCAGGCTGCAGTCACAGACACACGGGGAATCCACTGATGGCGTCGGTGCTCTGCATGATCATATCTGCCAGCAGAAAGCAGAAGCCTGGGGGGAAGGGGACGCGGGGCGGGAAAAGGAAGGTGGGCCCTGGGGCGGATGGGCTGGCGAGCCCCGGGAACTGGGGTTTGGGGCTCCAAGGGGGTCTCTGCCGGGTCTGCGGGAGTCGTTAGTGTGTTGGGGAGTCCCTGAGAGGTCCCCGGGGTTTACTGGAAGGGCAGCTGGGGAGCCTCTGGGGTGAGGGTCTTCTGGGCAGTCTCCTCCACCCTCTTCCCGCTGTGCAGGTTACCCGCGAGAATTGAGAAGGGTAAGGCCAGCCACCCAGAAAAATAGGACCAAGAGAAGAAGACGTTGTTCTTCCACGCGTTCTTCACCGTGTAGCCTATCAAGGCGGTCAGCAGCAGCAGTCCTGGGCCCCGCCCAGCCGCAGGATGAGCTAGCTGGGCCTGGTGGGGCTGCACCCAGGCCACGCCCCTACAGACCCGCCCCCTTCCATCAGACGACGCCTATCGGCTCTCGGCCCGCCTCTGGCCCAGGCCCCTTCCGGCGCCTCCCGCTCTGAACTCTGACTCGAGCCCCGCCCACCTCTCTCGGCATCTTCCAGCCCCGCCCCTCGGATCCCACACGAGTACCTCAAGCCCCGCCCCTGGTGACCAGGCCCCTCCATCACCCCAGACCCGCCCCGCCTGCCGCTGCAGTCTCACCGCCGAGGAAGAGGAAGGCGCTCGTGGTCTGGCCTCGCAGCGACTCGCCCTCGTGGCACCGAATCCGCAGTCCCATCACCATGCCCACCACGCCGACACCCACCGCCAGCACCATGCACGCCGCAGTCACGGCCAGCGTGGCTGGGGAGAGCGGGCGCATCAGCCCCGCGGGCGCCGCCCCAGCCGCTACGGGTTCGGCTCTCCTGTCTCCTCCCCCCAACCCGGTGTGTGAGCAGGAGCCGAGTTCCCCCGACCCGGAGTCAGGCGTTTGGACGGAGACTTGGAGGTCACGTCAGGACCTGTGGTTACTGCCGCGACCGGGAGGGGGAGGGGGTCAGGGACAAGCCCACAAGTCGAGGGGCGGGGTTCGTGGCGGCTTCGGCCGAGGAGGGACAGCTGCAACTGAGCCCGGGGTGGAAGGGGTGGGCGTCTCGCCATGGGCCCAGCAGTGTGTCCCGAGCCCTGGGAGTCTGAAGTGCCCTCTGCCATCTGGGCGGGCGGAGCCTCACTCTGGCAGGGGATGTTGGAGCAGATGCCGTGGTTGCATTCCTGCCACAGGCCACTGTGGCCCTCTTGTTGGCGGGTCCAGTAGTTGGTGGCCGTGGAGAGCACCATGAGGACGTTGGCCACGAGGCTGAGCAGAATGCCCCCTCTCTGGAGGCTCCGCTTCACCCCCATGCCACTGAGGCTGCAGCCGGGGGCCACAAGGGCAGGATGGGCCCAGGCCCTTCCTCCCCCGAGGCCCCCAGCTTAGGAGGCCGCTTCCTCCACACTCCTCCCCTAGTACTCCTGCCTGAGATCCCTGCTTCTGGGAACCTGAAGACCCCCTCCCTCAACAAGCATGCCTGAGGACCCACAACCTCCTCCCTCCAGACCTCGTTCCCCTTCCTGGGGACCCTGAGACTTCCCCTGAGAGGCCTCTGAGACCTTCACCACAGGCTTTGCTGTGAGGAACCTGTCTTCCCAGAGATGTCTCCCCACAGTGGAATGCCCCTTCAGCCTGTTCAGTGCCCTCCCCAGACACCCGTCCACACACGCCCACCTAAGTGACTCACACCCAGCGCCCCAGGGCTCCTTAGACACAGAGCCCAGAGAGATGGGGGGAGGGAGGCTGGGTCTCTGTGAGGCCGGGGGTTCCAGAACCCCCTCCCCAGTGGCTGTTTAAAGGGATATTCACTCCCCCCACAACCATACACATACACCCCAGCAGCTTGCAATTTAGTGACAGCTTAGATTCAGACAGCAGCTTTGGGGGCCATTACATGGTAGGCCAAGTCCTTCTTTTATCATTATTATTATTTGAGATGGAGTCTTGCTCTGTTGCACAGGCTGGAGTGCAGTGGCGCGATCTCGGCTCACTGCAACCTCCACCTCCTGGGTTCAAGCAATTCTGCCTTAGCCTCCCAAGTAGCTGGGACTACAGGCACACACCACCACGTCTGGCTAATTTTTGTATCTTTAATAGAGACGGGGTTTCACCATATTGGCCAGGCTGGTCTCGGCCTCCTGACCCCGTGATCTGCCTGCCTCAGCCTCCCAAAGTGCTGGGATTATAGGTGTGAGCCATCTCTCTCTTCCAGGCTGGAGTGCAGTGGTGCCATCACAGCTCACTGCAGCCTTGAACTCCCGGGCTCAAGGAAACCTCCTGCCTCAGCCTCCCAAGTAGCTGGAACTATAGGCATGTGCCACCACACCTGGCTAATTTTCTTAAGATTTTTTTTAGAGATGGGGTCTCACTGTGTTGCCCAAGATGGTCTCAAACTCCTGGGCTCAAGCAATCCTACCTTGACCTCCCATAACACTGACATTATGGGTGTGAGCCACCACTCCCAGCCCTTTCTTAGAAACTTCTCTTCCCTTGGCCAGGCGCGCAGTGGCTCACGCCTGTATTCCCAGCACTTTAGGAGGCCGAGGCGGGCAGATCACCTGAAGTCAGGAGTTTGAGACAAGCCTGACCAATGTGGCAAAACCCTGTCTCTACTAAAAACACAAAAATTAGCCAGGCTAGCTGGGAGTGATGGTGGGTACCTATAATCCCAGCTACTTGGGATGCAAGGCAGGAGAATCACTTGAACCCGGGAGATGGAGGTTTCAGTTAGCTGAGATCACGCCATTGCATTGTAGCCTGGGCGACATAGCAAGACTCCATCTCCAAAAAAAAAAAAAAACAAAAAACAAGACAACAAAATTAGCCAGGTGTGGTGGTGCACACCTGTAATCCCAGCTACTTGGGAGGCTTAGGGAGGAGAACTGCTTGAACCCAGGGGGCGGAGGTTGCAGTGAGCTGAGATCACACCATTGCACTCCAGCCTGGGTGATAGAACTAGACTCCGTCTCAAAAAAAACAAGAAACTTCTCTTCCCTTGACATTCTAGGCACCGCAGAAGCTCTCCAGGTCCCCAGCTATTTAACTGCAGACTTCTGCTCCTCTGCCTTCTCCCCTTCACTTGTAAATCTGGGTATCCCTTGAAGCTCCACCCTGCACTCCCTTGCCAGCAAGCCTCCTCACTGCCAAAGTTTGAGTGCTCCTTAATGCTCCATCCAAAACTCGATCTCCAACCCAAGGTCTCTCCCCTGAGCCTGACTCAAGTTCTCACCTGCTCGTGGCTGCCCCTCAGGGCCTTAATCGTCAACCATATTCCATCTGAGCTTAGTGTCTTCCACCATATTAGGGATGGCCTTGCCATCCCATCCAGTTCATCGAGCCAGACCCTTGGGCACTGTCCTCACCTTCTTCTTGCCCCTCACCCTGAAAAGCCTTGGGTCCCCAAGTCCTGCTCCTCCTGCCCCTGAATCTGTCTGGCTCATTCCCTCCTTTCCTGGTTCCAGGTCAGGCCTCATCATGTCCCACCTGTTGCATTGCCAAGTTCCTCCCTGACCTTCTGGCCTCCCCTCCATGTCTACAGGGGGGTCTGTCTGGTACCCAGAGCTGATATTGTCCCTCCTCTGCCTCCAATTTTTTCCCAACTTCCCATCATGCTCAAGAGAAAATCCAGCATGACATTAGAGGCCATAACCCCCACCTGCCTCTCCCTTTTCATTTTCCATCTCCTGCCCCCAACATTCTATATCCTGGCCATACATTACCGTTCTTCATTCCCACAAGACTCCTGACTTTTCTGCACGTTCATCTTCAGGCCCCTCTGCCTGGATATTACCTTTCCTTGGCCCTTAAGAAGCCCCTAAACATTCTCTCTCCAGAAAAGTCATCTCCATCCCTCCACAATATGGTTAGTCTTTTTCTGGTGTTCTCCCTGCACTGGGACTGCTGTCTGGCCTGTATTAACTGCTTCTGATCTGTAAGTGCCTCCTCCCCACCACCCCACAGACTGAGGCCCTGGCAGGCAGGGCCTGGGTCTGACCCGTGCTAGTGTCCCCAGCATGGGGAAATGTGCAAAAAGAACTGAGAGAGACTGCGTGCAAAGAAGGGCTGAGTTTTGGCAAGGGGTACAAAATCAGAGAGGGAAAGAGAAGGAAAGAGAGCCAGCTAAAGGGAGAAAGAAAAGTGCTGGAGAAGGGGAGAGATAGACCCAGGTTGGAGCCTGTATCCACACAGGCCAGGCAGTTGCGCTGGACAGGAGCGCCCTGCAGGCTGGTCGGCCTCGTGGGCTGTCACCTTCTCTTGGTGCTCAGCTCCTACCATGGAGCTGGCAGACGGTTGGCTTAGGTCTTGGCAGAATTAATCTCAGAATAGCCAGATTCCAGCCAAATTTTGTTGAATGAATGAAGAAACAAGCGGAGGGGCTGGGGAAGGGCTGAAAGGGTGGGGCGGATGTAGGACCAGACTTTCCGGAGGCTCCAGATGAGGCCTTTGGAACACAACGCTCAAAACTCATCTTGCCGCTCTTGCCTTCTGCTCACAAGGTTTCATAGCCAGGCCGGGGGCTGCCGCAGTGAGCACCCAGGCTCAGGGCACCTGGGAGGCCAGAAAGAGTTTAAGCACTTGCCCCTGCCCTTCATCCTCAGGGCCCCCTATTGGCCCTCCCAAGCTCCCCAGGGCAGTGGACAGGATAGTCACCTGTGCAGAGCAAGAGGATAGCTGAGAGCCAGCCCAGGTAGAAGGACCAGGAGAAGGAGGCCTGGATCTGGGGGTGTGGAGGCTGGTCCCACCGCTCGCTGGTGTACACCGCCATGGCCACTGCCATGGAGAGGGCTGGGGGCAAGGACAAGAGAGATAGCTCAACCCTTCGGCAGGAATTCACTGACTCCCGATGCCCGAGTCCAGTCCAGAGTCCTTACCTGCAGCAAAGGCTGTGATGGTTGAGACAAGGGGGCCGTGGCCTGGGGTGGACAGTGAGGGGATGCAGGACAGGACCAGGAAGCTCACGCACACCAGGCCCCACAGGACAGCCAGAATGCTGAAGCTCTGCGTCACATGAATGTAGCCTGATCGAGAGAAGACCACTGAACACCCATCCCCACTGGCAACCCCTCCGCAGGACACCCATTCCCCTTACCTGCTATGATGTCCCCATGCCCCGTTGGCCAGAGGCCCGAGTGAGCTGAGTCGTTGGGACCCACAGCCTCAAACCAGAAATCGGTGCTCAAAGCAATCAGGCAGAACATCAGGCCCAGGAAGCCCACAAGCAGGGCCAGGGACCGGCAGGGCTCCATGGGGGTGAGCACGGGGCTTCTGGGTCCTGGAGGAGGAAGAGGCTGCTGATCAGACTGTTGAATCTCAGAGGGAAGGAGGCTGTGCACCCGGACTCCTGGGTCCTTGGAGCTCAACAAAGAGAGACCAGCAAGCAGTCGGGGCAGTGAGGGTTCGTGTGCTTTGTCAGATGAGGCTGGTTTGGTTTCACACAGTTCCCGGTAACTGGCTTTTCACATACCCTCCCTTCCTGGATTGCACAGGCAACGTCCTCCCTCCCCTCCCCGGGGTCCGGTTCCCCGCTTAGTGTGTGGTGGGGGAGGGCACTGAGGGTGTCAGATCATCAGTGGTTTGGGTGGTGGTTTAGAACTTGCCTCTGTCACAGGTTCTACAGCTCCCACCCCTGGAACCTTCAACACCAAGTTGGGGCTTCCTGGAAGAGGTGAGAGAGAGAGAGGCTTGGGGGCCCTGAGGTGGGAGGAAGCCAATCGGGGCTGGGGTATGCGTTAAGTGGGAGGGGAGATGTGGCTGGAGGGGACAGTTGGCGATGTGTCATGCTTTCCTGTGGGTTCTGCAGTCTTCCATTTTGGAAGAGGAAGGCCCCAAGTCTAGGGTCTCTACTAAAGGAGGGGGCTTGGGAGTTAGAACTCCTGGGGCTTAAGGAGGAAGGAGCTGGGGTCCTGAACTCCAGGTCCCGAGGGAGGAAGGGGCGGGTGGGAGCTCAGAATCCTGGGCCGCAGTTTGGAGCATATGCCGAGGGCAGGTAAACAGCAGAGAATCACAATTCTGAAAGGTTTGCAGAGAGGCAGACATACCCACATCCTCATCTGATATAATGAGTTCAGTGGCATCTCTGCTTTGGTGGGGGCTCCAGCCTGGTGGCCTTTGTCACCAGGATCAGGAGGCCTAGGGGGTGTTGGGAGACATAAGGATTTCGGTCGAGGGTTCTCCAGCCCCTGAAACGTTAGCCTCTTCCATCCACACCAACATCAGGTCCTGGCAACACCTCACTCGTGAGCAGGTGTAAGGTGAAGGTACCACAGCCCACGTAGAAGACCCAGGAAAACTTGGCCTCTGTGAAACAGGGTGATATGGTTAGGCTTTGTGTCCCTACCCAAATCTCATCTTGAATTGTATCCCCATAATCCCCACATGTCTAGGTAGAGACCAGGTGGAGGTAATTGAATCATGGGGCGGGTTCCCCCCTGTTGTTCTTGTGATAGTGAGGTTTCACAAGATATGGTGGTTTTTTAAGGGGTTCTTCCTGCCTTCGCTTGGCACTTCTTCCTGCCACCCTGTGAAGACGGTACCTTGCTTTCCCTTCGCCTTCTGCCTTGATTGTAAGTTTCCTGAGGCCTCCCTAGCCATGTTGAACTGTGAATCAAATAAACCTCTTTCCTTTATAAATTACCAAGTCTCAGGCAGCTTTTGTTATTGCTGTTGCTGTTGTTGTTGTTTGAGATAGAGTCTCACTCTTGTCACCCAGGCTGGAGGGCAGTGGCAAAATCTCGGCTCACTGCAACCTCCACTTCCTGGGTTCAAACAGTTCTCCTGCCTCAGCCTCCCAAGTATCTGGGATTACAGGTGCCCACCACTACACCCAGCTAATTTTTGTATTTTTAGTAGATTTCAGGTTTAGCAGGTTTTCGGGTTTTTACCATGTTGGACAGGCTGGTCTTGAACTCCTGACTTCAGATGATCTGCCTGCCTTGGCCTCCCAAAGTGCTGGGATTACAGGCGTGAGCCATCTCGCCCGGCCAGGCAGTTATTTATAGCAGTGTGAGAATAGACTAATACACAGGGAATAGTCTGGAAGAGGACCTCTGTCTTGAAGATGAACTGGGCCAGCAGTCCCAGGACAGCTGGCAAATGTGGAGAACGGGAAATGACCTGGGAGGTTGGTTCCTCTCCTTTATTGGAGAGACTCCGATTGGCAGCCCCCATCCTTCACTCAGATCCGCACCACTCTGAGAACCAATTCATGAGCACAGGCTCCCAGAGGTGGCAGAGGCCATGAGCAGGCCAGGTCTCCGGAAAAGCTTCCAGAAATCTGCCATGGTGTGCAGTGAGTAGCAGGTCAGAGCACACAGCCTATCTGTGGCCCTGACCACCTCCCAGACCCAAAGCCATCCTTAACCCCAAACCCAACTCCATCCCCAAACTCAATATCAAGCCCAGTTCCAACCACAAATTCAACCCATCCCTATCCCCAAAGTTAACCCTATTCCCATTCCTGAACACAACTCCAAACCCAAACCCATCCCTATTTGTAATCTCCACCCCAGCTCCAACCCCTAATTTAAGCCCATCCCCATCCTCAAATAGAACTCCATTCTCAGTCCCAACTACACACTCAACCCCAGCCCCCAATTCGACCCCATCCCCAAACCTAACATCATTCTAATTCCCAAACTCAACACCATCCTTATTCCCAGTTCCAACCCTTAATCCCCTTCTACCCTCAAATCTAACTCCATTCTCATTCTCATTCCCAAACCCTACCCCAATCCCTCTCCATTATTAACCCCAGACCCTGCTCCAAACCCAACCCCATCCTCTTCCTGAAACTTGACCCTATTCTCATTCCCATCCCAACCGTTTTTTTGTTTTTTGAGACGGAGTCTCACTCTGTCGCCCAGGCTGGAGTACAGTAGCATGATCTTGGCTCACTGCAACCTGCGCTTCCTGAGTTTAAGCAATTCCTGTGCCTCAGCCTCCTGAGTAACTGGGGTTATGGACTGTGCACCACCACATCAGGCTAATTTTTTTTTTTTTTTTTTTTGTATTTTTAGTAGAGATGGGGTTTTGCCATATTGGCCAGGCTGGTCTTGAACTCCTGACCTCAGGTGATCCACCTGTCTCTTCCTCCCACAGTGCTGGGATTACAGGAATGAGCCACTGCACCCGGCCACTGTCCTTTCATTCTTCTCTGCAACCTCTATAATTCATACGTAACTCTGCCCATTTTCATCCTCATTTCACCTCCACGTCCAAGCCTGTAACCTTGTGTCTCATCTCCCCACGTGGGTCCCACTACCATCACCATCACACCCTTGCATGCGTGCACACACACAGGTGACCTGTACCTGGCTCCAGTGAGTCTCTGCACATGTAGGTGTCACAGGCTGGGCACAGGCCCAGGTTCTTGGTGCCCTCTGACACAGATACCACAAGCCAGTAAGAGCTGGTGATGGTCATCTTTTTTTTTTCTTTTTTTTTTTTTTTGAGACGAAGTTTCACTCTTGTTGCTCAGGCTGGAGTGCAATGGCATGATCTGGGCTCACGGCAACCTCCATCTCCCGGGTTCAAGCAATTCTCCTGCCTCAGCCTGATGAGTAACTGGGATTACAGGCATGCGCCACCATGCCCGGCTAATTTTGTATTTTTAGTAGAGACAGGGTTTCTCCAAGTTGGTCAAGCTGATCTCAAACTCCCGACCTCAGGTGATCCATCCGCTACAGCCTCCCAAAGTGCTGGGAATACAGGCGTGAGCCACTGCGCCTGGCCAGCCATGGCCATCTCTTAAGAGCACAAAGGCAAGGCAGCTGTGGCCTTGAAGACGGAATTGCTCACAGGACCTCCACCTGCTTTCTCAACCAGATGTGGTCTGTGGTTGCCAGAGGAAAACCCCAGGCCTCCTTCTGAAGCTTTTCCTGAGAGCTCTGTGAAAGGAATATCTTGGGGCCCCCAAATTACTGAGCTAAAGGGGAAAGTCAGGCTGGGAATAGCTCAGGGCAAACCTGCCTCTCATTCTATTCAAAGTCATGTCTGCTCACTGAGATAGATGCATAGCTGATTGCCTCCTTTGGAAAGACTTATCAGAAACTCAAAAGAGGCCAGTACAGTGGCTCACACCTGTAATCCCAGCACTTTAGGAGGCCTAGGCAGGTGGACCACCTGAGGTCATGAGTTTGAGACCAGCCTGGGCAACATAGTGAAACCCCATCTCTTCTAAAAATACAAAAATTAGCTGGGTGTGGCAGTGCACGCCTGTAATCCCAGGTACTCAGGAGACTGAGGTAGGAGAATCACTTGAACACAGGAGGTGGAGGTTGCAGTAAACCAAGACTGTGCCACTGCACTCTAGCCTGGGCAACAGACTTAGACTCCATCTAGGGAAAAAAAGAAACTCAAAAGAATGCAACAATTTGTCTCTCACCTACCTGTAACCTGGAAACCCCCTCCCTGCTTTGAGTTGTCCCCACCTTTCTGGAAGAACCAATGTACTTTTTTGTTTGTTTGTTTGTTTTGAGGCGGAGTCTCGCTCTATCGCCCAGGCTGGAGTGCAGTGGCTGGATGTCAGCTCACTGCAAGCTCCGCCTCCCGGGTTTGCGCCATTCTCCTGCCTCAGCCTCCTGAGTAGCTGGGACTACAGGCGCCCGCCACCTCGCCCGGCTAGTTTTTTGTATTTTTAGTAGAGATGGGGTTTCACCGTGTTAGCCAGGATGGTCTCGATCTCCTGACCTCGTGACCAATGTACTTCTTACATGTATTGATTGACATGTCATGTCTCCCTAAAATGTATAGAACCAAACTGTGCCCCGACCACCCTGGGCACGTGTCGTCAGGACCTCCTGAGGCTGTGTCACAGGTGCACGTCCTCAACGTTGGCAGAATAAACTTTCTAAATTAACTGAGACCTGTCTCAGATTTTCGGGGTCCACAGCTCATGTCACCTGCTTGGCCACGTGATTTTCTTAGGTGTCTGTCAGTCTTGTCTAAGCACTGTCAGATTCTTTGAATCACCCCAGGTCTCTTCCAACTTTCTCCAGCCCCTTCCAACCTCTCCCAGGCTTGAAAGCTCCTCAGTAGCCCCTATCTGCCATGGAGGACCCCAAAAAATTAGCTGGGTGTGGTGGCGTGCACCTGTAATTCCGGCTACTCGGGAGGCTGAGGCAAGAGAATCACTTAAACCCGGGAGCCAGAGGTTGCAGTGAGCCAAGATCGCACCACTGCATTCCATCCTGGGTGACAGAGCGAGACTCCGTCTCAAAAATAAATAATAAAATAAAAAAAGACTAATCCTCAATTAACCTACGTTCTAATAAAGAAATGAATGCTAATGGTAAACAGTTATTATGGAAGGCATTATCATTTCTATGGAGGCTCACTCTAGTCATAATATTTAATGACTATCATAATGATAAAAGGATATTAAATCTCAGTATCATTAGAGTACTTTTCAATAAATAATACTTTATGTAAGTCAATAAACAGCACTATCAATTGGCCTGAATAAGTATTTATGGTTCAACAAATGTTCTTTTGAGTGATTACCGTGTGCCAGGTGCTGTCTTTGAG